CGTCAAGCTATCATTACACTTCAAAATATTCGTGGCCAGGTCTGTAAACCTACTTCAACCGGTTCAGATATGTCCGTGGTTTTCTAGCTCACAACTATTGATGCCCGGGCTTCCGCCAGCGGGATTAAGCGTCGGCGGTAAACTCTAACCTCACATGATTCGGAACAGCTCCGGTTTTGCTGTCGTTTGCACAAGCACTGCGGGCACATCGGAAGCTGCTTTTCCAGCTGAATCTGTCACTCCCAATGCACATCGTGGGAAATTCCAGCCGTCCTCATGCGGTATTTGGCACATGGTGCGCTTCAGATCAATGGTCCCACGTATGTTGTTTTTATCTTTAGGAACTCAATTCAGTTGGTTTCCTTCGACGGGTTTGGGTTCCGGGGACCTGTAAAACACAGCTTGTTGTGTGAGCCAAAAATTCACCACCCAAGCTGGCCTAAACCAGTTCGTAAGAGAATGTCGTCTCCGGCGTGATGGCGAAATTGGCCTGCGCTGACGAAAGTTTGTTATGCCGTACAATGCGGCGACGTGATCGCCCGTGCCTGTCTGACCCTCCCGGGTCACTTGGCACCTGACCCTTCTTCGCTACCTGGCCCGGTAAGGCGGGTGTTCTCGGACTGGGTATCTGGTTATCTGGCTATTATGGGTTCTGGGAATCGGTCCCCCGTTGTAACCAATGCCGGCGACTGTGAGCCCGGCGGCTTCTTCCCGGATCGCGGAGACCTGAATGTCGTGCGGTTGACATAAGACTAGTTGCCTTGTTTGCCTTCTTGTCTCGTCATCTTGGTCAGTGTTTAAAAGATTATCACACCTGTGTTGTACCTTTCACTTATTGTTACATCAGACGCTTGTGATCTGATCAGTGATACCAGTTTTGTCAAAATCCTTCCGAGGAGCTCAACATTTTAATTTGAAGTAGCCGAACCTGCGAGCGAAATCTTATTTGACTCACTGTACACCACATTAAAAGTAAAACGTTTTACAAAAAGATGGAAGTGTTTAGAACATGAAACTATCATCCCACGAATTCAACGAAACTTCTATGACATTGATTCCTCCCCTTTTTTGCTATCCCAGATTTCTTCGCGGAACTCTGGGATCATTGTTTAGCCCCGGTTTGCAATCATATTTTAACAGTGGTTGACTACCTCACTTTGCTTGGTGTGGCACCAAAGACTGGCAAAGCCTTTCAGATGATGCCAATCACTGAAGCATCATGAAA